CTTTAAGGAAGAAAATTAACACAGGACCATAAAGAACCTAGAAAGATGATTCGGGCACCAGAAAAGTACAGGGTACAGGAAATTTTGTTGATTCCCTGTCACCCAAGATTTACCCACTAAATCTAGGAAAAATGTGGAAATTTTTGGAACAGGTGACCTGTACCCTGTAACTTTTGAGATTAGACCTTGAAAAGTACAGGGTAGAACTTATGAATATTATTATTGTTATATCAATCCAGATATCCTATCCGTTTTAAATTATAGAAATCTAGATACCCCTATCTGTTTAAATTATAGTAATTCAGATGAAATAAAAATATTATTTCATCAATCATTTTGTTAACCAATAATAATAATACGTTTCATGATGGATCTTTTTTAGTATTGATGAATTTTTATTTACTAGGCTAAATATTATTCAAATTACCATACGTTCAAATAGCAATAGTAAGTATTAATCGCGTTACAGCGAATTTAAAAAGTAACAATAAAAAAAAAGATGAATGTGAACAACAATAATAAAATTGTTTAATTAAAATAAAAAGATCAGTTTCCAAGGAATCTGTATAAACAAAGATGGTATTTTCTTTTATCAAATTCCCTACAAACAATTAAAAATTTTCATGATTAAAACCTTTGAAAATGTCCCAACAACGAATTTTGATGATTAGTAGCATGGATTTGTTGAAATGAGGTTTTATTGTGTTATTATTAGCGTATATTAATAACACGTTCTACGCAGGACACGTCCGCTTAATATTGAGGACACGAACATGTCCTGAACGATGTCCCAATGTTTAAACAATAATAATTTTTATTTGTATAAAACGAATAATTGATAAAACGAATGATTTGATAAACGAATAAAACGAATAAAACACAGCAAATAATTTGAATAAAACGAGTAATTCGAATAAAACGAATAAAACTAATAATTCGAATAGATGAAATAATTCGAACTGAGATTGGATTTTTACAACTTGGGAAGCTCATATGTACAATCCATACAAAAAAAAAGGGAA